CCAGATCAGGTTACCAAGAGCCCCGTCCAACCTGACCTTGAATGTCTCCAGGGATGGGGCCTCCACCACCTCTCTGGGCAACCTGTGCCAGGGTTTCACCACTCTCACTGTAAAAAATTTATTCCTTATACCCAGTCTAAATCTACCCTCTTTTAGTTTAAAACCATCACCCTTTGCAACAGGCCTTGCTAAAAAAGCTTACCCCCATCTTTCTTATAGGTTCCCTTTGAGTGTTGAACATCTTGACTTTAGTTTAAGAAAAGATATGACTCTTGCTTTTGGCTTTTTTTTTGCAGAAACAGTAGCTTTCAAATTTTTTTTCCCCTCCACTAGCATTTTTGGTTCAAGTTTTTATAAAGATCTATATGGTAAATCTAAAAGAACAGAATGAGGAGGTGTAGGTAAGGAGTATGTGGATTGACAAGAAATGTACGTGTTCCTTAATTTGTAGACTGCAGCATGCAGAAAAGGCAAGGCAGGCTGCGGAAGAAAGATGCAACAAGATAAAGCAAGAACTTGCTGGCAGGCTTGACACTTGTCGCCAACAGATGTCCCAACTGGATAGCAAATGGTATTTGATCCGATGAAGCCGGTTTTGACTTCCTTTCTGCTGTTTCTTTAAGAAGTGTTTTCTCCACCTTTTGTGCGATGGTTTAAAGAGGGGTAGGTTTGAATTATGTTGAGTTCAGCAAGTATTGACAGAAGTACGCAAGATCTAGGAAAGCACAGCGCTTCTGTGTCGTGCACAGTTAGCAGGAGGATTGTGAAATGTTTTTTTCCAGAACATCCAATTTAGAGCACAGAGTGCCAGTGGAAATCTGTCCATTCTGACTACAAATGGAGCTTTCAGTTGCTTTTTTACTAAATCAGGAGATAGGTGTGGTCACGTCTGTAGGCTGAGGATGTAAGTGACTGTGATCCAAATGGATTGGGGGGGTTTGGAAGGGCTTGGGAGCATCCCGGTGTTTATAGGGAACATTAATTCTCTAAAGATCTCTAATATCTATAGAAAATGATTCTTTCACTGATCAGACTTCAGGGCAGAGTGTCCTTTTTAAACATGGCTCTTTAAACACAGGTAGTCAAATTTGTACTTGTGGGCATTGGTTTTGGGATTTTGATTTTGTGGTGTTTTTTCTTACAGCCATTTATTGCTGCCTGTTTTCTGTGACCTGAAAATGCTCATAAAGTTTTTGCTGTCTGCTGCTGTAACATCCCTGTTCTCTCCTTTCCCAAAACACCACTCTAGTTTTTGCCCTCTTTTGGATAAGGTTTCTTTTTCTCATACTGTTGCTTCCTTAAGTGCTCTAGATTATCTTGCTGCTATAGGGTTTCTTAACATTAATTATTTTTAAATAGCTCAACTCTGGAAAAGGAGCTAAAGTCTGAGAAAGAACAGAGGCAAACTTTGCAAAGGGAACTGCACCAAGAGAAGGACGCTGCTGCTCTGCTTAAAACAGAATTACAGCAAATGGAAGGACTGAAAAAGGTACGCACGATGCAGATGTGCCCCACGGTCAGGATTAAAGCTGACTTGGAACAAGTGCAACGTTTGCGTCTGTAGGATGCTTTGTTAAGGGAGTTTATTCTTGTGAGCTGCTTGGGTAGTTTGGATAGACGGGTGTAGGTTATAGGTCAAACTTAGCACACAAAAAAATTGATTTGCTGCTTGATTTTATAGGAGTTGAGAAAACTGCAAGATGAGAAGCAGCAGTTGGAGAAAGTCTGTGAGGAGCAGGAGCAAGCTCTTCAAGAAATGGGACTTCATCTCAGCCAGTAAGTTCTAGAACTGAACTCCTCAAAGTGATGTAACCTGAAGGGTGGAGTATCAAACCAATACACATTTTGAAACAAAAATCAAGAAACGTGAGAATTTTAGGAGGCAATTCCTGTGTATGGGAAACTAAACAGCCATGAAATAAAAGTGAGGGAAGATCCTAGCACAAGTAAGCTGGCTGAGATAGAAAACAACACAGTAAATGCTTCGTTCTTACAGTAGAATGGTGCTTTTCCCATGTTCTTCATATACTGAAAAGGGGGCAAACCCCTGGTGATACTGAGCAGTTCAGAGTTCTAACAGGAGCTCACTAAAAGTTTCAGTTCAGTGGCTGGACAGTGGAATGGCAGGTAATATCAAACACAACTAAATGCAGTCATGCAGAGGGAATTTTTTTTTTTCCCCAGGTCAAAGTTGAAGATGGAAGATATTAAAGAAGTAAATAAAGCACTAAAGGTACTCTGTGTCTCCTGGATATTTTGACTGAACATAGGCATTTCATTTAACACCCCCAAATTGGTCCACGGTTATCCTACTTTAAAAGGTGGCTTTTCAAAAATACCAACAATGCCGCTAAACCGCCTTTGAATTTTATTTTCCATTTTTTTCTATATCTACAGTGGGTTTTTCATTCCAATTTTCTAGGGTCATACCTGGCTGAAGGACGATGAAGCAACGCACTGCAAGCAATGCAAAAAGGAATTCTCTATCTCCAGGAGGAAGGTAATGTTGTTCAGTGGATTCTTTTTTCCTTTTGTCACTGAAAACAAAAACTGCTGTTGCATAGTTTGCTAGGGCAGAGGGACACTGCTTCAAGTCCAAATCTTGTTGATGGGTGTGAAGGATTAGGGCCGGGGCTGGCCACTAAATCAATTAAAAATGGGCAAATGTATACAAAAGCAATGTTGAAAACGGTGCGTGCGTTCACTCTGCTGCCGCGCCGGGGCAAGCACAGCTCCCGGTGGTGGGGAGGGTGTCACGGATGGGGCGAGCCGGGCTGTGCCCAAGGGCTGCACCACTTGTGTTTGGCCCGGAGGAAGCGCTGCTGGGAAGGCTGGGCCTGTTGGGAAGTTGAGGGTGATGTCAGTGGACTCCAAAAGCTTTTCTGAGGTCTCATTTGTCCCTCGCTGATGCTGAGGCAGCTGTGCTTATTCTGACTTTGTTTGCAGCATCACTGCAGAAACTGCGGGGACATCTTCTGCAACACTTGTTCCAGTAACGAACTCGCACTGCCATCGTATCCGAAACCTGTCCGCGTTTGTGATACTTGTCACACCCTGCTCCTCCAGCGGTGTTCGTCTAATTCCTCCTAAGGCTTCCGTAACCTTCACAGGACCACTTTAACATTGGAAAGTAGCCATTATTTTTCTAATTCTGAATTCCAGGCATCTTCTGTGCAGCAGACTGTCTGGTCTCTAATTTTCCACTGTATGATAGAGCAGTGTAAAGTGATTTGTAGGAATTATAACGTAAGCTAATGTTTCTCCAACTGGAATAATTAAGAAAATTATATCAACTGTAATTTCCCTTAAAGTTCTATTTGAAACTAAAATGCATATTCACTTTTCTGATTTTTATAGATATTTGTATTAAAATTTGTATATGGCATTTCTACATTTGATCCCTCTACATGTCACCGTCTTTCTGCCCATTAATGTCAGTTCCTCTGTATTGTCCCTGTAGGTGCTCCTGTCTGTTCCACGAGCTAATGTACAGTTTTGTATTTGCTGTAAGTGCAGAGAAGAAAAGTCACTTTATGAATTGTCTATAGAAAGAGATTTATGATGAGTGCTGATGAATGTGCCTTCTGTTCATTGCAGAGTCCAAAAAGACACCTTGTACTTGTTCTGAAAGTCGCTGTGACCACAGTACAGTAGTTACACAATAAAGCCTTTTTGCAAAAACTGAAAGCAAGAGCAGTTGTTCTGATTTTTAACAGTGGTCAGTCACAGATCTGGAATGTTCTTGTATGGCTGCATGTGCCAAGGCCCTGAGCTGCAGATACGAAAACGCATCTACGGAAGGAGCCAGATAACGCCCCTGCTCTGCAGCAGTAACTGCTGCTGTGTGTCCGCAGGACTCCAGCCTGCGGTGACACTGCCAGGACGACGGCAGGACAGTCCCTCAGCTGCTGCTTCAGTCAGCAAAGGCAGCGCTAGCTTCTGCCCGTCCCTCGCTGACAGTGCTTTTCTCAGCCCTGAGCAGGGTGGGCCCAAGCCCGGTTTGTGGTGTCGTGGCAGTGTGACCGGGGAGGTGGTGGAGGGCAGGTGAAGGCAGCACCCGCACTGCTCAGCCAGCGCTGTGTGATGCAGAACAGCTGCTTATCTCAGCAAGCAGTGATTGTGAACAGCATGTTCCTTCAAAGTCTTTGTTCAGAACAGCAGAAACCACAGTGAGAGCCCTGCTCTGCCCACGGGGTGCTTAGTTCTCCCACTCCTGCTGGAAGCTCAGCAGGGCCCCAACACCTGTGCTGAGCTGGACTCTGGCACCAACCCTGCTGCTCCCGCAACTGAGGACCCCAGGCAGCGGCCACGGAGCCAGGCAAGACTGTAACATGGCAAGGCCAACCCTCGGCTGCAGTAGGACCTGCTCAGGCTTCAACAGTAAGAGAAGGTGATGGGTTTTCATTTTTCTTTGGGCCATCGAACTTAGAACCCTTAAAGCAGACTGGTTAATTAGAAAAGGCAAATAAATTTACTATGACTAATATACAGGGAAGCACGTTCTGTATTATTCCAAGGGACATTCTAGCGCTCAAAAGCTGTAACTGAGCTGTTTATAAAACCACATCTTTAAGCAGGGTTGATTGACAACTTAAATTTATTGAAACAGGGTTGCACTAAGCTGCAAAATCCATTGATGCAGCACTTTTGGCTGCAAAAAGGCGATGCCAAGTAGAGAATTGCCTCTCAACCCCCTCTGCAGGTCTGAGACCCTGCCAAGCAGGCAGCTCAGGAGAGTCATGGCACAGCCTGGGGCAACCGAACCAACACACATTCGCATCAGCAACACCAGGTGCTGGTTTCCTTCACTAACCCCACACAGCTGAAAAATAACGTCACTTTAACATCCCAGAACACCAGGGTTCAGCTGAGAACTTGCATTAGGAGCAGTCACAGCACTCGTGGCAGACACATGTGAAAAGCACTACGGTCACCCAAGCACAGCGACACTTCTGCAGGTGTAGCTACACCTCAGAAGCTGGATGGAGGTCAAGAAGGAATGAGTTCCAGTTTTTAAAAGGAAGATTTATTTAACAAGTTTCACTTAGCGCAATACACCTAAAAAGGAAATCACAATACAATGAAAGATTAAATCAAGGCCTCAGAATTTTATACGAACACCAAGACCAAAAATCCTAAAGTAGCCGTATTGCGTCTCAACACGTTTCCCCCATTAACTTAAAAAAAAAAAATAAGCTTTAACGTGCCTTACAGGATATTAAAAGAAATAAACTAGATCTAACATGCCAAATGTTCACTTTGAATTTCAGACACAGCTCCTATATTGTTTCTTTACAAAAACGCATGTCTCTTTCAACATGTATTCAAAACAGTGTCAGATGTAATATGGTATAAGAGTGACATTTAACATAATTCAAACAGCTTTAACCTAAATACGCTTACTGCTTAAATACACTCCTACAACAAAACTAGAGAAACGCTCAAAATTGTTTAACAGTTATAGTCTTTACTCAACTTGGTTATTACATCCTAGATGAATGTTCATTTCTGTATGTTCAAAAATACTGAACCTGAAAGGTTTTAAAATAACAATCCTGAATTCACTTACAGTAAAGCATAAATCACAAGCTCGTATTGCAAAACTGTTAAACTTAGTTTTTTGTTTTTTTGTTTTTTAAAAAAAGACGTGACCAAAAGTCAGCGATCGGTTACATTCCCCAGCCACCACTCATGTTGGACATGTTGGACATGCCGCCCATGCCGTTCACTCCCATGGACGCGCGGTTCCCACTGCTGTAGTAACTGCTGTTCATGGCGCCCTGGCTCCCGGGGTCTGAGGGGAAAACCGACAGCAGGTTCACAGCTGGTTCAGGCCGACTCGAAGCATCCTTCCCCCAGCGCCTGTCCGTGCTGGGCCACCTCGTAAATACCGCCTACTGTGCCCAATACTGCAAAGTGTCAGTTTAGAGCTCCGTACCCAAAAGGAAGCTTATCGGTAGTTTAATAAAAAGAGCCAGCTCTGCCCCGCCCCCCCACCCGCCACCCCCGCCCTTCTGAATTCAGCTGTTTTCTCTCGCTGTTCCATGGAAGCAGA